AGAACATTCTAGACATTGAAATAGGAATAAAGTACAACCCTAACGTCAGTGGAACATTATTCGTTATTATGTAAATCTAAATCATGATTTTAGTAACTTTCATGTTAAAATCCTGCAGTCAAGTGCTGAAGTTTGAAGATTAGGATAAACGTTATGAGAGAGGTTACATTAGCATAGTAATATTTATAGGCCCTGGAAACCAATCAGAACTAGGTGGGTGGTTCACCCATAAAAAAAACGTTAATAGAATCCACAATGTATCACGCAGTAGCTGGCAGACGTGCCTCCTGTTATTGGCCATGTTTCCTCATGATCATAGATCCCCTGTCAGTTTGATCTTTGATAGCTTTACATTGGGTTTTTATTTTTATTTTTATTGCTTGGATGGGTGGACGAGCTCACAGCCCACCTGGTGTTAAGTGGTTACTGGAGCCCGTAGACATCTACAATGTAAATGAGCCATCCACCTTGAGATATAAGTTCTAAGGTCTCAAGAATAGTTACAACGACTGCCCCACCCTTCAAACCGAAACGCATTACTGCTTCACGGCAGAAATAAGCAGGGCGGTGGTACCTACCCGTGCGGACTCACAACAGGTCCTACCACTAGTAAAGAACCAGGTGTACTAGGATGCAAAAAGTTTTTAAAAATGTAACATCGAAAAAGAGACTTTTTAGCGTTTTTTTATTTAGAATCACCAACGCTCCTACATGTATTTTTTTATTTTTATTTATTTGTTATGTAAGGTCGCTTTTTAACAGCAATGGTCATTAACGACCACTGTAACCTTACAATTAAATTAATCTATGGTAATCTATAATTTTCAGGAATTTTAAAGTACATTTTACATTATTATTTAAACAGTCAAACAAACAAATACATAGGCAAGGGAGCAAGCAGTATGTCTCTCTGCATTAAACATTGGGCACTCAATTATTTATTTTTATTTATTTATTACACTTCATGTAAAATTTACATTGGCGGACTTAATGCCTAAGGCATTCTCTACCAGTCAACCAAAGGTAGTGCAGAGTAAATAGTGGTAGGTGCAATGAAATTTATATTAGGTTACGAATACAAACAAAAAAAGTATATCTACATATATACAAAATCACATATACATATACATACATATATACACACATACATAAATATAATAGTTTATACAGTATTAAAAGGAATATATCAATAAATTTCCTTAACAAATAACTTCATCTTAATAAGTTCATGACGATTCCGCTAACTTTTCCAACAGCATTCGCCGAACCCTTAACTTGAACGTGCAGCGGTTAGTAATAGTCCTGATCTCGAGAGGAAGCGCATTCCATAGCAGAACAGATTGCACGACGAAAGAGTTACGAACATAACTAGAACTATGTGTGGGACAACGAATTAATAGGCTATTGAGAGATCGTAGGGCCCGCTCATGGCTGGAGTGAAGATATTGAAAATAGGAAGTTGGTTCGGGAGACATAAGTAAGGAATGAAGAGTCGTCAGTGCACGTAAATTACGACGCTGGCGAATCGGTAGAAGTTTGAGCTGAGCACGATAGGAAGATATATGATCATATTTACGAAGATTAAAAATAAATCGAATGCGGTTATTAAGAAGACGATCAAGTTTATTAAGAAGGTCTGCATTCAGGTCAAAATAACACACATCACCATAATCAATTATGGGGAAGATCAAGGCTTGTACTAGTATAGTCTTGGTCGCTGATGGTAAGAAATTCTTGAGGCGATACAGAGCACAAAGAATTCCAGAGGTTCTTTGTCCAACGTAAGATACTTGAGCTTTCCAGTCGAGTGTGGAGTCTATGTAAAGGCCTAGGTTCTTAACCACGGAACTTAGGGGAATTACTGAACCATTATAGAATATAGGTGGGGGTGACATAGTAGTTAAGCGTTGGATCATACGAGGACTGCCCACAATAATGGCTTGGCATTTCGTTGGATTCATAGTTAAGCCAAACTTAGTTGATCAACTACATATGTAGTCCAGATCCTTATTTTACTGGTTTATTGCCTGAGAAATAGACTCCACAGTCGTCTGTCTATAAAGCTGCAAGTCATCAGCATACAGATGATATGCACACTGAAGATTATGAGTTAAGAAATTTATAAAAATAGAAAATAATAATGGAGACAAAATACCGCCCTGGGGCACGCCAGAGTTGACACTACACCAACTTGAAGAGGTGTCATCAATACGAGTACACTGCTGGCGTCCCCGAAGATATGATGAAAACCATTCCAGTGCTGTAGGAGAGATCATAATATAGGACAAAATAGATAGGAGGATATCGTGATTGACGGCATTGAACGCATTTGAAAAATCAATTAGTACCAGTACTGTGACTTTAGTGTCTTGCATACCTGTCCTAATGTCCCCAACCACTTTAAGGAGAGCGGAAACGGTGGAGTGACCTGGTCGGAAGCCAGACTGGTAAGGGCTCAATAGGTTGTTCCGGAAAATAAACTGCGACAATTGTTTGTGTACGCAGGCTCCGATCACCTTGGATAGGAAGGGAAGAATAGATATGGGCCTAAAGTGATTCGGAAGGGAAGAGTTAGGAATTTTAGGTAAAGGAATAACATAAGCCTTACGCCACAATGACGGAAAAGAGCCTGATGATAGGGAGATATTTGTGATGTGCCATATAGCTGACAGAAGATGATCCGGAATTGTGACGATCATACGGCGACTTATATTGTCACAACCCACGGCGTTCGATTTTATGGATAGGATAATATTTTTGATCTCATCCACAGCAACCGAAGAAAATTCAAAGGAGTCAACATTAAGTCGAGACAAACCATTCAGGTAGTTCAAGGTGCGACATTTCGTTTGATTATTTAGTGGTGTAGCAGAGGAGAAATGAAAGTTGATGTCATTCAAACTTATCGTCGCCTGAAAATCAGAGTGACGCTGTCTACCAATACCCAGAGTTCCAAGGAATTTCCAAATATCGGCAGGCGAAGCGGAATTTATGTTTTCTAGAATGTGGCGTCGTTTAGCGTTACGTATCATCTGATTGCACCGGTTCCTCGACACCTTAAATTTAGTCCAGTTATCATCACACCGATTCCTCCTAAATTTTCGAAAAGCCCGATCCCGGCGCCTCATAGCCATCCGAATACCTTCAGTCATCCAAGGAGCTGGTGGGTGTTTCAGTTTAATTTTTCTGATAGGCGCATGAGTGTTGTAAAGCCCAATTAGTAAATGCTTAAAAGATATATTGCTATCACATCGACTGCATTTATTTATTTCTATATTGGAGTGGAGAAGGTTTCAAATACAAGGTTTTCTGTTAGACAACACACAAAGAGGTCCTCGTCTGCAATGGAAATAAAGATAATTAAATAAAACTGTATATTTCCTCGCGTTCGCTATAATAACATTAATTGTTTCTTTGCACTATTCTTCATCATATTCTAAAGGCACAGGCAAATATACACAAAGTAGTGTAAGCAAAAACATCCCTTGGGTTCAGGCGATATTCCTGTTAAATTTAGGTTACAAGCATAATCTCGAATTTACGAGCTTATCAATAATTCTTAAATGAACAAATTTTATTGCTGGGAATTCCGAGCCCAGAGACTTTTTTCAATTTTTTATCTCTACGATTTATAATGTTATATTTAAGCTTGCTCCTTTATAAATTTTCACAATGTAGATACTAGTCTCTTGCGGAGCGGATGCGGTATCGTCAAAAAGTCAAATTATGTAACAAAACTTCATATTCATGAATTAAGAATAACAGAGCATTCAAATTATATTCAAATTATTAATTATATTCAAATTATAATTTGCGTAATTACTGGTGATAGGAACTCTTGTGAGTCTGCACGTGTAGGTACCACCGCCCTACCTATTTCTGCCGTGAAGCAGTAATGCGTTACGGTTTGAAGGATGGGACAGCCGCTGTAACTATACTGAGACCTTAGATGATCTAGTAGATGGGCTTCGGTAACCACTTAACACCAGTTAGACTGTGAGCTCGTTCACCTATGTAAGCTCTAAAAAAAAATCGATTTTAATAAAAGGTGTATGAAAAAAAATTGGCGTTAACGTAGGCTTGTTTTAGTAGCATTAAATTAATTACAGTCACCTCTAAACAAATACTTTATTAATGAGCAATCATTTTATGTTATATTCCAATTATAATAAGAGTGATCTGAATATCCAAATCGGGCTTTCTAAATGTATTCCGTGTTAGATAATTTACCCACTAGGGACTTAATCGGACACCACTCAACAATCTTCGGATTACGCGCTGTGTTAATTAACCGGGTGTACTTAGATTACCTGAGGAGTGGGCTCATCAATCATTTTATACAATTAACTAGGACTGTTAATTTGAATGTAAACTACTTGTTGAAAAAATACTAAACTGTTTGAAATCCTTGATCCCATGACATTTAAAAAAGGTTGAATTAAACAGATTAAAAAGCAGATACAAACTTGACGCTTACACCAAAACTCAAGTATACTACTCTATATACTTGTTTACTATTATGTTAATACTAATGCTGAAGAGTATAACATACAGTTATATTGAAACAAGTGCTATTTTACCCTATTCTTGAAACCGAAATACATATTTTAATTAATTAAAATACACTGCTGACCTCACTGGCCCCTGGTTATAGGAGTCTATAGATACTGACGTTAATATACTGCGTCATATGCTCAGCTCAAAAGATTAGATGAAAGTCACGGAGACAACAGTTGTCCTACCCTTTAAGCCCTTATTGCATGGTCAGAAATAAACCTAGTCGTGCTATAGGAACTCGCAATATGCCCTACAAATACCAATACTTCAAGTAGAGTGTTAAATGTTATTGAGGAAGTTCATTTAGGTTGAATACTGTCTACTTTTTCTTCTAACTAGCAGTCAACTAGATAATTATTGTCGTGATCCTCTGAAATAGCCTATCTGAGCGCAAGGTCTCTTTGGGAGAAAGGCAGATATTAACTTTATCGTTTTGTTCCCAGCGTTGTTTAACCACTACGGATCTGACGTCCTTGGGCGTGGGCTCCTGTGTTGGCACCGGGATGTATCTCGTTGCTGGCATGGTGGCCCGCAAGTTCGCAGGCCCTGGCGTTATGATAAGCTTTATCATAGCGGCCATAGCCAGTATCTTTTCGGGTAAGTCTTGCTAATTTATTACTGGTATTATGATCAAATTTTTAGAACATCACCGTGGCCGGCTATGGTATAATCACCGCTGACTTTGTGATGTAAACCTTATATCGACTGTTCTTTTTTGACAAGACCCAATAATATGCAAATTATAAAGTAACTTTTAAATGGCAACTCTTCGTAAAATTGAGCCCCATTTATGCAAAGGTGTCATACAAAATTAGCCCACCAGGATACACCACTTACAGCGGAGTCGCGGCGGCCATTTGGTTTAATTACTATTCCATATATAATGATAATCGAATACCATTTAAAATAAAATAAATATTGTGGCAATATCACTTAAACAGGTTTTTAAATTTTATTTTTAAGTTCGAGAGCTCTTATTGAAAAATCCTTTGTATGGAATGAATTTGAAAATAATGTAGTGTAAGTGAAAGAAAATATCTATTTGTTAGTAAGTCGTTCAATTTAGTTGAACATACTTTCTTATATTTTGAAATCAAAGTTACGAAATATTTAAATCATATTATGTAAAACTCAAAATACTCAAATTAGAATCATGTTTATAAACGTAACAAATATGCGGAAAATAAAATCTCAGATATGTTTTGCGAATAATCGAGATAGATATAAAGATAAAAAAAAAAATTATTGCTTATATGGGTGGACGAACTTACAGCCCACCTGGTGTTAAGTGGTTACTGGAGCCCATGGACATCTACAATGTAAATGCGCCACCCACCTTGAGATATAAGTTCTAAGATCTCAGTATAGTTACAACGGCTGCCCTATCCTTCAAACCGTAATGCATTACTGCTTCACGGCAGAAATAGGTAGAGCGGTGGTACCTACACGTGCAGACTCACAAGAGGTCCTACCACCAGTGAAGTTAATTAATAAGTAAAATTAATTTGGTGAAATATGCGTTAACTGTCTCGATTTAATATATAGTTAAAAGCACCTAGCCAAGTTAATGTTATTAGGTAGAAAAGCCACAGCGCTTGTGCTACCCGAACCAGCCGACCGCACTTTGATTGCTTTATTATGGCACTGCTTTCCCATCGAGCTGGATTTTCACGAGTTTTATTTACATTTTGCTGAATGTTACATGGTTCCATTAGCAAATTCTACTATAACCCTACGTATCCAATTATTTTAATAACAATTAAAACTAACTATGGCTATGACATGTCCTTCTTCAAACGAGGCTTGTGGAGAGTATTAAGCGGTAGGCAGCGGCTTGGCTCTACCCCTGGCATTTCTGAAGTCCTTGGGCGACAGTATCCACTCACCATCAGGTGGGCCGTGTGCTCGTCTGCCTACAAGGGCAATAAAAAAAACTTTCTTTTCTGTTTAAATAGATAATAAGATATTAAGGGCTATAGTAGGCAGCGGCTTGGCTCTGCCCCTGGCATTGTTGAAGTCCATGGGCGACGGTAACCACTCACCATCAGGTGGGCCGTATGCCCGTTTGCCTACAAGGGCAATAAAAAAATATATGCGTATTTCATATACGAGGTAGCATACAGACCTAATTTTAAAGACGACAATTATAAAATTGTAGATAGATCACTAATCTCATGTTGATTTAATATAATTAAATGAGGTCGTATTTGTATTAAATTATAACAGGAATGATTCTATTGAAGTAACGCAACACGTGGTTATATTTGAAGTTTACGTAGGCAATATTCATGATTCTTTTGAATCATGAATAATGAATTGTAAAGAAATGTATTCATTTTTTGTGGTATCTGAAAGCAAATCATGTTATTCCTTTTTGGCATAGGAGATACTAAGTATGAAGTATCAGTAATATTAAAGTTTACTTAATAAGTAAAGTGGAATAAAAGATAAACTTAACATTTAAGTTTCGAAAGCTCTAACTTTTGAATTAAACTAAAATAGATGTCCATATTAATGGATTCGTTCTTACCGGAACTCAATTTAGCTGTGCAGTTGGAAAATGCTATGCTTAATGTACTCGTAGTAAGAGGTCACGAGAAGCCAGCAAAATGAGAGGTTCTTTTGTGAACTGAGATGATACGTTCTCTCATATCATTGTTGTATTATGAAATAGTTCCGTACCGTTCCAATTCTATTGTACGCGTTTGGCTTTACGCTTTCGTAATTTACTGTGAAGTGTTTATGATAAGTTTGCGTATATTCTAACGGTTTCTAAATTGTATATTTTTTTATTGCCCTTGTAGGCAGACGAATATACGGCCCACCTGATCGTGAGTGGTTACCGTCGCCCATAGACTTCAGCAATGCCAGGGGCAGAGCCAAGCCGCTGCCTACCGCAAAATGTATTAATAAATTAGGTTCGATATTGACGTATTCAAAATATGCTTTACATCAAACAGTGGACAAATTTGAGCCATACATCAACTAGATATATAGACGGTATTAAACGCTTTTAATTAATACGATTATCACGTAAAAGCAATACGCAATACATAGAAACTCTGAAAATATCAGGAAAATTTATCTCTGTTTTCGTTAACGATCTCGGCCTTAAATAAATACGTGTATATTTTAAATATATTTTTTGGCAACAATCGTCATGTTTTCAAAAACATAATTTCATTTTAACAGGTGCATGCTACGCCGAGTTCGGCGTCCGTGTCCCGAATACCACTGGATCGGCTTATACCTACTCATACGTCACCGTTGGAGAGTTCATCGCCTTCATTATTGGTTGGAACATGGTGCTCGAGTACCTGGTGAGTATCTATCACATGATACCAAAATATTTGCACCCAAAACATATTGGGTGTTAGAAGACCGCTTCCGAAAAGAACACAGACGATAGTTTAATGATGAGACGGAAAAAAAATCGATCCTGACTAAAAAAAATATCATATTTTTAAAACGTTTTATTAGCATTATTTAAGCTCCTTCACGTTAGTGCAGCTAAATAAAACGATACTTTCATAAAAAATACATTACTTTTCTTTTAAAAAAACAGAAATGAAACACAAAATTAAAAACAGCTGATGCTCGGGTCAACGAACGCACGAGCGCGGCGCAGTCTTGCTGTATCGCAGAAATACTTATTAACAGCATTTTTCTAAATAACTCCATCATCAAAGGTGTTATTAGTACTATCGTCTGTCTTCGTTTTCGGAAGCGTCTCCTAACACCCAGTAGGTATAATTAAATTTTTGTTAGGTAACAATTGGCTTTCTTAGTAATAATTTATAGAACATGGGATCGTTGAGGTTGATCATGAAAGAGATAGTATGGAGTATAATAATATAATCAATGTAATTTTGTTAGAACTGATAAGTAATCCATGTGGGTTGGTACCACCATGCAGAATAATGACGGAATCTGATTTAATTCTATTTATTTTAAGAACTGCTCTATTCGGAGTATTTTCCTGCGTAATAAGTAAAAACAAGACAAAACCAAGTCCCATGTTACTATTATCTTTGATGATATCGACTGTCAAAGAGAATCAATCAGGATGACGTAGTATATTAATCAATGTTAGCAACCACCAGACTAACAAAGCGCTGAAATGTATTGAAACTTCGATCTCAGGTGCTCATGACATTTAAGAAGGTAATCTCATCCCAAGGAAGAGAAGCCATACAATATCTACCCGACAATAGTTTTGCGGATCGATAGTGTAGTGCAGATATCCCCAATTAGGTTCAAGTAAGAACTAAATACGAGTCATCAATCGACAAGATTACAATTCTAATTTCAAGATAAAATAACTATCTAAATACGAAGACAAGCAATTAAAAAACAACAATTATATGAGATTATTTATTTATTAAAATTGAGGCACAAAGGATACAGTGATTTTGGATATAATGCCATGAGTCATTCTATCAGTCGAGGGTGCCGTGGTCCATGCATTACTAATTAATAAATTACTAAAGACGAAAAGAGAATGATAATTTATGACATTAATATATTAAGATACGTATAACGTAATACATACATATATATGCATAATAATCATAAGTGTAAAAAGTATTTCCCAGCTTACATAATCGTAAAGCCTTATTTTTTTATTGCGCTGAGTAAGTAGATGAAGCTCGGAGACCACCTGGGACTACGTGATTACTGAGGACTATAATATACATCACAACGTAAATGTCACTCACTATCCATATTGTTTGAATTGGACGCAGCCGTGCGTTCAACTTCACGAGTGATGCGATGTTTTAACATTTAGTTCCGTAAACTCGTAGGTGGCGTGTTAACTTTTAACTACTACAAACGAAAATTAATTGTGAAGATTGATGTAACTGATAAGATTTACGAGAGTATTTTACGAAATAGTTTACAATCATGCTAAGAACAGATTACTGGTGGTAGGACCACTTGTGAGTCCGCGTGGATAGGTACCACCGCCTTGCCTATTTCTACCGTGAAGCAGTAATGCGTTTTGGTTTGAAGGGTGGGGCAGCCGTTGTAACTATACTGAGACTTTAGAACTTGTATCTCAGGGTGGGTGGCGCGTCTACGTTGTAGATGTCTATGGGCTCCAGTAACCACTTAACACCAGGTGGGCTGTGAGCTCGTCCACCCATCTAAGCAATAAAAAAAAAACCTTCACAAACGAACTCGACAAATTCACTAATTAACTTTAAACTTACAAATAGTCAAGAAACTGGATTTGAAATCTCCATTTAAGCAAATATATGCTTCTGTTCGGAAAAACACGCTATTCAATAACGAATATTAACGTTTATAAGTACATGTACATAATACCTAGCGATACCAATAAGGAAAGGAAAAACTAAATCTTGATATATCTAATATAAAAACAAACTAAACATTACGCTTATGTATATCGATTATGTTTGCGGAATAATAGTGTGTGTGTGCATTTTTGAATGATGTTTGCTTAGTAGTCTATTGTTAACACATTATCGAACAATAGATAATGAATAACCACAATTTTTATATTAAGCAGTTTTATGCAAGTGAGGAAATTTTGTTATTTTAATTTTATACTGCATATTTCTGCAGATTAAATCTAACTAAAACTCATGTCATGTTCAAAATTAAATCAATATTATATACATTTATTTGTATGTATTAAGAAAATACTTCCGAAAATCACAAGCGCTTTTATTATAAAAAAGCATGTATTATTTTAAGACAAGAAATAGTACTGGATCGATTGTTTGTATGAAAAACTCCGTTACAACTTGTAATTCAGTATAAAAGTAGTATCTCAAATGTCGAACCTGTCATGAGGGCCTTAATATTGTCTAGAGAATTCCCTGGGTTTTCGACAAGCAAACCAAAACACTATTTAATAAATAAATACTTTTTAACTCGCAAAATAACCTCAGACAGGTCTTTTTTTTGAACAGAATATTCTTTTTTTGTTCCCCTTTCTACGACCGTTTGTACACAGAACTAGAATAAATAATTTTGTTTTAGGTATAAGAAATACGACGATTTTGTATGTATAAAAAAATCGTTAATGTTAACCAAGTTAAGTACTTCAGGTAAAGTAGTAATTTTATTAAATAAAGTACGAGTATAGTAGCAAATTATTCAGAACGTAATAAAAGGTATTGTCATAAATGACATATGATGACAGACGACATGAACTTCTCAACCATAAAAGAATGGCATTAATTATCTATATATTAATAATACGTGAAGCAAAAACATTGTATCCCTTTTTACGAAAATTGCGCAGACGGAGGAGTATGAAATTTTCCACACTTATAGAGAATATAGAGAAGAAGTGCACAATGCTTATATTTTTTGAAAATAATGCATAAAAGGTACATTAAATCAATAAAGAAAACATTACACACACTACATACCATGTATTTGACGCACACAAGCATGCATACTATTTATTGTCAAACTTTTGTTCTTGACGTCTGTGGTCAAATTGAGAATAGATTAAATATTGTTTGTCTTTGTTAATATTTTTTTAGTGTAGTCTTGGCGAAATTTGTAATTATAGAAGTATAAAATACAATGATAATAATGTACAAACTTACAATTCCAATTAATTATAGTCGAATTTCGACTACTGCGGGACCTCTAGTTCATTTAAAAATACATTTCTGAGTATAATAACCGAAACGATTAAGGCACAAGAAAAACTTATTACAATATGAATAGTACTACTATATTATTGATTAGTTTAACAGCTTTTTTTTTAACTTATTAAAACATATTATTATATGACCTAAATTTATTTCGAAAAGTCTTGTTCAATGGAAGTAACCATAAATGCACCGAGTTTTAATTTAATATGTATTTGGACAAGCTTACTCAGCTTACGAAGTTTGTTGGAAACTAGTTCTCTCTCCTACGTCGGACTTAAGTGCCGCTTATCTCAGTTTTCACTGTAATTTACTGTTTTATGTCAAGCCATTCTCACGATAAATTTTTCATTATATAGACACAAGTGTATTTTACAAAATATTTTTAGGGTAATATAATCAAATTAGTCACAGACTTGTGATCTAAAAACTTCTAATTAAGTGTATGACGCTTATAGAAATTAGTTGATCTGCTTAGACGCTGAAGTTATAATAAAAAATTTCTTTTCTTTTCTTTAAATCAAACTAAAAAACTAAAACCTGATTGTTTCTATCTTGTAATATCATCATCTAAAGCGAAACAAACAAATAAATCAATCTTGCTTATTATTAGTGAGAGTAATCTAAAAAAATGTAAAGCAGCATTTACGAGTATAAATAAAAGCCTATTGAGGGATTTATTGTGGTTTTTTTTTGTTCGATTCAAACGGTATCGTTTTTCGAGTTTTTGTCTTAAGAATTTCTTCTTCTTCTTTCTCTCCAACTTATCCTACTAGGTGGGGTCGGCACAGCTATTTTTCTCTTCCATTCTTCTCTATCGTATGGAGCAATGTTTTCCGGCTATTACCAAGAACCAGAAAACTGCGATAGCATTTATTGTAAGCTCGCCTATTTCCATCGCGGGATAAACATGCTTTTTCTCCTTACCTCATAGAAGTAGAGGAATTACTCTTACCTAAAAGTAAATTAAATAAGAGGATCCAGGTGCTCATTCCCACATTATCAGAAAGACAGAAACAGACTTTTTTAATTCAAAATTGTTTAGTTTTTTTTGCGTTCTAATCTATATATACATAAAAATAAATTGCTGTTCGTTAGTCTCGCTAAAACTAGAGAGCGGCTGGACCGATTTGGCTAATTTTGGTCTTGAATTATTTGTGGAAATCCATAGAAGGTTCAAAAGGTAGATAAATATGAAAGTGCTCGGAATTAAATAAATATAACAATTTTGTTTTTCCTTTGATGTGCTCCCTTCGAACGGATTCCTTTTGTTTGTTTTAAGTTTATTTTATACAAAAGCTTAGGTCTTTTATTTATCGATTGAGGCACTACGGAATCTGCCGGGTCAGCTATTAGACTTATAAAAATATACTGCTATTCAATTTGCAATTTACGAGCATTCGATGCCATTATAAAAAGTACTTTGCATATAATGTTTTATAATATAATATCTAAAAATATTATTATTTCTAAATAAAAAATCGAAATGCCTTCCTTATTATCAGATAGATTTCTGCAAAACCTTCCCTAGAGTTTGCCGTACTTTTCTCTTCGTAGCTTTTCGTCTCCATAGCGGTCCAGCTGTTTTCATAATCTTGTCTTTCCAAGTTTATTTTTTATGTTTTTACATCCCTTCTTTCTTTTTTTTTCACGAAGATACCGTGTAGTATTTTTCTAATTTTTCT